AAGACCTTACAAGACACCTCTCTGTTGGACAGAAGTTGGAGAAAGACAATTGTTGGGTCCTGATATAGTGGATGAAACCACAGACAAGATTAAAGTAATCCAAAAACAGATGAAGGCAGCACAGGATAGATAGAAAAGTTACGCGGATAAATATAGACGTGACATAACTTTTCAAGAGAATGACGAAGTATTTCTCAAAGTACAAGCAACTAAAGGAAAAGCACGCTTCGGAATGACGGAAAAACTAAAACCCAGATTCATTGGACCTTTCAAGGTATTGAGTAAGATAGGAGCAGTGGCTTATAAGGTTGCCTTACCCCCGAGTTGGCACAAGTTCATGATGTGTTTCACGTGTCCATGCTTCGGAAATACCATCCTGACCCTGATCACATTATTGATTATCAACCGCTTGAGTTAAAACCGGATGGGACATATGAAGAAGAACCTATCGAGATTGTTGAACGGAAGGTTAAACAACTGCGGCGAAGAGGAATTCCTCTAGTAAAAGTCGTATGGACATATCATAAAGGAGGAGATGCGACGTGGGAATTGGAGGACGAAATGAAAACTCGTTATCCCCATCTTTTTGGTAAGAAAAAAAACTCGTACCTACTATATTAAATCGTTCTAGAATTCGGGACGAATTCTTTTTTTTAGGGTGATAGAATTATAACGATTGCATTTTTAGAAATTTAATTAGGATTTAATAGGGAAAAAAATTGGGAAGAAATGATAATTTGGACAAAGATTTTCATCATAAAATAAAATATCAAAATAATTAAAAAAATGCCTAGAAAATATGGGGTTAAATTGTAAAACTTTTAGGATATTTTTTAATCCATCCTTTAGCTCCCTTTTTTCTTCTAACGCCGTGCATTATCTCACATGTCCTCTCCCTTGCTATCTCTCACGCTCTCCCACAACCCTTTCGCAGGTAAAAACCTCTATCTCTCTCCTATCACCCCCTTGCTTCCTCTCTTTTGCATTCACGAGACATCATACTCAATCTCTCTCTCTCTCTCACATGTCACTTTCTCACTCTCTCTCACTATATGTCTCTCTTTTCTCTCCATATCTATATACATATTCATCATCTTTTATTATTATTACAAAATATCATCATCATCTCTACCGTAGTACTCATTCTTCTTCTAATTACTAATATAATCATTATTACTATTATTATTTTCTTTTTCTTCCACGCTACAGATTAGATCCATTTAATTACATGAAAAAAAAATAATTAAAAACCTGTGTTTTTTTTTCAAAGTCAAAATATACAGATTTTGTTTTAAAAAAAAATAAAAAATAAAATTTAACGAGTATATTTATGATTTAGATTATTAACCGTTAATTAATTATAGGTGAAGAAAATTTCGAGGTTGTTGAAACCGGGATCGAGGATTAGAGCGAATCTTTCGGGGTTCATCGCTTATACCGAGGTGAGGGAACTCGACAGAACTCCTCTTTCTTCTATTCGCTTAGACATGATGATAGAGAACATAGATATCATGCGGTTAAGACTTTAGGATAGACGCCTTAAATTCCTTGCGGATTCATGATGTATGTTGATTGATGATTGATGATTGATGATTGATGATTGATAATTGATGATTGATGATTGAGAATCGATGATTGATGAATAATGCATGATTATTGATGATTGATAAATTTCCGTTGAGTGATTATGGTTTATGACGTATATGTTATGTGATGACGTTTTCTTTTTATAGATTATTAGACTGTTAGAATGAGTGGTACTTTTGATATTAAATAAACTTTGGCATGATGTTTGGAAAGATGAGAGAATTAAAGAATTGAGTTAGGGACTAGGATGTGACCTCAGACTGTGCTAAAAATATTTTAAAAGTGAGTTTTGTTTGAGTTGAATGTTGATTGAATTGTTTTCTATTTGATTGTCTATTCTGGGTACGGAGGCGAGGTTTATAGTCTTGCAACCTTACTGAGCTATTCGCGTAGCTCACCCCTTCCTTTTTCTCCACAGGTGAAAAGTGAAGCAGATTATTTTGGTTGGATTCGGTAGTTTGCCAGAAAGACAAGATTTAGAATTTTTATTTCCTTTATTCAATTTATTCATGAAATTAATATTCAGACTTAAGTTATTGAAATTCATTGTTTTAGACTTCCGTTGTAGAGCGTGATTTTGATGGTTGATTTTAGAATAAATCGGATTTTTTTTATAACCTAAGTGACGATTCAACGATATCCGAAACACCGGATTTTGGGTCGTTACACAGTCTCTTTATTCATACTACCGTATTGTACCTCCGGTACGACTTAGCTGGTCCCGGTCCGTCCGGAAAAACCAGTTCGGTCTGTTCCGTGGTTTTTACCCTTACCTTGTTTTCATTTTGGGTCCAGACTACGTGGGGTCCGGTCTGGCCCGTAATTCCGGTATAATTTATATTTTTCACTTTTTCATAATTTGAGCCGGAGTAATACTAGGTCCGTCTTGTTAAGTTTTTCAATTTTCTACGTGGTGAATTTTCTAGGTTCCGTTACTCTTTTTTTTCTTTTCTTTTTTTCGGGTCGGTCTGACCTCAGACCGACCGGACTGATTTTTTCGTCTAGACCGATCGGTCTAGCCTCTAGACCGATCGGTCTACGTAATTTTTGGTCTCGGTCTAATTTCGGTCTAGACCGATCGGTCTAGTCTCTGGATCGATCGGTCCGGACGTCGTCTTCAACCTCAGAATTCTGCGATTTCTTCTGTAACCCTAGACCGGTCGGTCTAACCCCGAAACGGTCGGTCTACGTCTCGGATTTCACCAAAATCACACATACAAGCTCGATTTACTATGGGTAATTCATCAAAACTCATAAAATCGCATGTACAACAAGAATCAATCAACAATTTCGCACGAAACACACAAAAACCCAAAACCCCATGTTAATGAACTTCTGAATTAAACTCGAATTCACTGACCTCGAGTTAAGCTCGTGCTATGGGTGTTGAATGAAAAGCTTGGTGATGCTCCTCTTGGTTTGTTGAAGCCGAATCGGGTGCGAATCCTTCGAATCTGAGGGAGAATTTTGGGTTGGAAATGAAGAACATGTGAGGGAGAGAAAATGGGCGATTGAAGCTCGGATTATGCCAAATTACGACACAAATTCGGGCCCAGGGCGGACCAAATCATGCATAAAGTCAAAAAGTCGGGTTTCCTGGTCAGATTTGGTGCGCCCGGGTCGTTTTCACGTCAAAATCGGACCGAAAATCGTGACTTTCGCGACTGTACAGTGCCTAGACCGGTCGGTCTGCGCCTGGACCGGTCGGTCTTGGTCACTGTGTTCGTCGGGTCTTGCCGACAGTCTAGACCGGTCGGTCCAGACCTTTTTTTTTTGTTTGAAAAATTTGGTTGTTACACAAAGTTAAGCGTGCTGACTCTGGAGTAGTCTTAGGATGGGTGACCTCTTGGGAAGTACTTTCCGGGATGTGTGCGAGTGAGGACAAAACACGCTAAAAGGTCCCGTGTTGGTGTGTGGAGAAAGCTCTATCATTCCGTAGCGGCCTCGGGTCGTTACAAATGGTATCAGAGCCGGTTCTCTCCCAGTACGGTGTGGTTCGTGGACGAACCAGGCCGAAACTGGTGGGCCTATGACAGCCCAGAATACCGTAGGAGGGCGGGGAGTGATCGCCGGTGCAAGAGGATGGACAATGGGCGGCTCCTGACGAGCTTCTGGGTAGGGGGTACAGGGATGAAGCGGACGTACCGGAATGAGAGGGATCCGAGGGCTGTGTAGGTATGAGACTACACAGTCTAAGATAACTTAAAAGAATTAATTGAGCTACTCATATCAACAAGATGCATCTACCTTTTCGGTTGCTCATCTCGAGAGAACTCCAAAGTTAAGCGTGCTGACTCTAGAGTAGTCTTAGGATGGGTGACCTCATGGGAAGTACTTTTCGGGATGTGTGCGAGTGAGGACAAAACACGCTAAAAAGTCCCTTGTTGGTGTGTGGGGACAGCTCTATCATTCCGTAGCGGCCTCGGGTCGTTACATTCTGAGTCCACATCAACATGCAATACAACTATCAATCAATTATTTTGGTGTTTGAGAGTGTTCGAAATCAATGGCCCAATCCAATTCATTCAGGTTTATAATTTATTTTTAATTTTAATTCTTGAAATCTACATATTATTATATTTTTTCTTTACAAAATTATTTTTTCCTTTTTGGTGACTAAAGTTTGATATATAAATGTATATGTGTATTGTAGGGTAGCTTTTGAGATATTATTTTATATTTTACAAAGTGATCCAAAAGAACTTATGATTCTCAGGATTTGAAAAGTAGAAACATTTGCAATAACAAAAGGAGAAAGATAATAAAAAAAATCAATTTTTTATAAGCAAAATCTTCGATACAATTGCAAAAAAAATCGGTTTGCTTGGAAACCCTTTCCATGTTTTTATCAATGTCTTGATGAATAAAAAAAATATGAATATCATCAGAAAAGTTAAAAAGCTGTTAGACTTTCCAGTTTTTTGCCCGTATATCTATGTCATCGTGAAAAATGGAAAGTGATGGATATTTTACCATAATTTATTTAATATCTAAATTAAAACTCAAGTTTAATATACAATAATAATAAAAAGTTAATTAAACTCCAAGCCAAATTGTTCGATTTATTGTTTTTTATTATATTTTAGCGTAATTAGAATTCTTTTTTATTTTTCAAATTAGAAACTCTAATGATTCAAAGCACAAAATACAAAGAAGAAAAAATACGTAAATATTCATTTTAATAAATTGATTGGTATCAAGCAAAAGATCATACTTATTGACAATCTACTAATATAAATTTGAAAAAAAAAACAAAATTTCATGTCTACCATGGGATGATAATAATAATAATAATATATTCTACTTTTTAATCATGACGCCACTTTGGTTTTTGTTTTGATCATATGAAAAAAAAATCCTAAGCATGAAAAGCAATCTGTGCATGCTTTGTTCTACAATGTCTTAACTATTATAAATATGTGGACCTTCTAATTGTCCAATAAGATTAACTCCTTAATGATGAAGGAGTTACCTCTCTTTTCCTATAAATATGTAGTACACCTCCTTGTTAATGTTACACAAAAACCTCATAAGGTTTACTCTCATTTCATCACTTCTCTCTCCATTCTCTCTCTCTTATTATTATTATTGCTTTCACTATCATAATATTCATTTTATTTTCAACACGTTATCAGCACGAATTTCTGCTCGTATACATCTACAAAAATCATCCGAAAGGTAAAGTAATAAGGGTATAATCTCATATTCTTAATCATCCTTAATTTTGATATCGTTTTCAAATTTAATTTTGATTCTAATATTATTATTATCGAAATGGTCGGCTAAGCCGCCTAAAATATAAATTAATATGATATTAATGTTTATAAAATTATTATTATTATTACTGTGATGGTCGGCTATGCCGCCTAAAATATAAATATGATATGAATGTTTATATTTATTTCTTGTTAATTGTTATTACCGTGATGGTCGGCTATGCCGCCTAAACTATAAATATGATATGAATGTTTATATTTATTTCTTGTTAATTGTTATTACCGTGATGGTCGGCTATGCCGCCTAAACTATAAATATGGTATGAATGTTTATAAATGTTTCTATTGTTATTATTATTATTATTATTATCGTGATGGTCGGCTATGCCGCCTAAACTATAAATTAATATAATATTAATGTTTATAAATATTTCTCTTAGTATTATCGTAATGGTCGGCTATGCCGCCTAAAAACTGTAAATATTATTAGTGTGGAGGATGACTATGTATCCCCATTATATTTCTTTTATTATAATTATTTGTACAACATTATTATTTCCATTGGATGATCCGAACAACCTAATCTATTTATTTTATACAATATAAACGATATTAATATCTAACAATATAAAAATGATCATGGCTAAATTTTTCTTAAATTTTTACTTGCAAAAAATATATATATATATATATATATATAATCATGAGTAACGTTAATATGTTTTATGTTTTTTTTATAGTTAACATGTCGAACTTGGTCAACCTCAAAATCGCTGCTCTAGATGCTTCTGGAAAAAATTACATGACTTGGGCATTAGATGCCAAAATGCATCTGAAGGCAAAAGAGATTGTAACAACAATCGATAAAAAGCAAAAGACATCGGAAGCAGATAAGGCAAAAGCGATAATATTTCTGCGACATCATCTTGACGACGTATTAAAAGATGAGTATCGAACAAAAGAGGATCCCGCAGATTTATGGGAATCACTCAAAGATCGTTTTGATCATCAAAAATATGTGATCCATCCAAAAGCCAAACATGATTGGTTGAATTTGAGATTCCAAGATTTTAAGTCTGTGCGAGAATATAATTCTGCAATGTTTGAAATCATCTCCAGATTGGAATTATGTGAAGAAAAGGTGTCGGAACATGATAAGTTGGAGAAAACATTATCAACATTTCATGCTGATAATGTTGTTTTGCAACAACAATATCGGGCAAAAGAGTTCACAAAATATAAAGATTTGATCCAAGTCCTACTTGTTGCAGAGCAAAATAATCAGCTTCTAATGAAAAATCATCAAGCTCGCCCAACTGGTTCTGCTCCATTTCCTGAGACAAATGCAACATTTTCAAACTATAACCGTTGGCAAGGTCGCGGACGTGGACGTGGACGTAGTCGTGGCCGAGGCCGTGGTCGAGGACGTGGACGTGGACGTGGGAGAAACCACAGTTATCAGCCACAACCTTTTCATAATGGAGATATAAAGAAAAGGGAGTATCATAGAAGTGAAAATTATGATGCGAACAAAAGGCACAAAGAAAATATTTGTTATCGATGTGGTATGAACGGTCATTGGTCACAGACCTGCCGCACACCAAAACATCTTGTTGAGTTATACCAACAATCACGGAAAGACAAAGGGAAAAGTGTCCAGATAAACTTTGTATCTGATGACCTTGGTGATTTCATTGATAATGAAGCGGATGGGACACATCTGGATATCGCAGATTTTCTTGATCAGTCCGAGGAGAAAATGACCAATGAGTAAAAGTTGATATGAAGTCTGTTATAAGTTCTGAATGTTGCATGTTATCTTTCTTTTAAAATATGTTTTCATGTAAAATGTTGTTGTATGTTTTTCTAGATTTCTATTGTACTCTGAAGTTAAGTTCTTGTGTTATGTACTATTTTTATCTTATCTTTATTTTCAGGCATTTTCTCATCTCTTACATTGATCGATTCAACTTGAAATATGTCAAAGTACAAGATAAAGGACGGGGATATATGTTTGGCCGATAGTGCTACGACTCATACGATATTGAGAGATGAAAAGTACTTCTCTGAATTGAGGATTACTGAATCCAGTGTTACTACGATATCTGGAAATGCGAGAATCATCATGGGTTCTGGAAAAGCCAATTTTATGATGTCTCGAGGTACAAGGATTGCAATAAATAATGCATTATTCTCTCCAAAGTCTCAAAGAAACTTATTAAGTTTTAAAGATATTCGTCAAAATAAATATCATATAGAGACTATGTGTGAAGATAATCAGGAATACCTTTGTATCACATTAATAATTTCTGGAAAGAAGTATGTGATGGAAAAATTATCAGCATTATCTTCCGGATTATATAAGTTGAACACGTTTAATTAATGATTCAGCCATACCATTTTGTGTATGGATATGGGGAACTGGATGCTCAATCTCAATCCCAAGCGACATACAGTAGTCATTGAAAGCTTGAGAAGTGAATTCGCCGGCGTTATCAAGCCTCACTTTTTTAATTGTATAATCAGGGAATTGAGCTCGTAATTTGGTTATTTGAGCAAGAAACCTCGCAAATGCAACATTGCGGGTTGATAATAGACAAACATATGACCAGATAATAAGACCATCATCGACCAAGGTTGGAAATGAATTACCGTCATTCTTGGAACGAATACATGGTGATATAAGCGGACCAATTCATCCACCTAGTGGACCATTTCGATATTTTATGGTCTTGATAGATGCATCAAGTAGATGGTCATATGTTTGTCTATTATCAACCCGCAATGTTGCATTTGCGAGGTTTCTTGCTCAAATAACCAAATTACGAGCTCAATTCCCTGATTATACAATTAAAAAAGTGAGGCTTGATAACGCCGGCGAATTCACTTCTCAAGCTTTCAATGACTACTGTATGTCGCTCGGGATTGAGATTGAGCATCCAGTTCCCCATATCCATACACAAAATGGTATGGCTGAATCATTAATTAAACGTGTTCAACTTATTGCTCGACCAATGATGATGAAAACAAAACTTCCAATTACAATATGGGGACATGCTGTTTTACACGCTGCAGCACTGATCCAACTTCGACCAAGTGCATATCATAAATACTCCCCAATACACTTAGCCACTGGAAATGAACCAAATATATCTCATCTTCGAGTATTTGGTTGTGCGGTATATGTACCAATACCTCCACCACAACGTACAAAAATTGGTCCTCAAAGACGATTGGGTATTTATGTTGGGTATAACTCACCCTCGATCATTCGATATATTGAACCGCAAACTGGTGACATGTTTGTAGCTCGTTTTGCTGATTGCCATTTTCATGAAGATGAATTCCCAGCGTTAGGGGGAGGAATGATACAAGCCTCACAAGATTTAATGTGGAAAACAAAATCATTATTATATCTTGACCCCCCTACAAAGCAATGTGACATTGAAGTGCAAAAACTCATACACTTGCAAAATATAGCGAATCGATTACCAGATGGGTTCACAGATACAACACGAGTGACAAAATCGTACATTCCAGCTGAAAATACACCCGCTCGAATAGAAATACCAAAGGATCAGAAAGATAAAAGAATTGCTAATGAGTCTACGATACAATTGAAACGAGGAAGACCAATCGGCTCTAAAGATAAAAATCCACGGAAAAGAAAGAAAAGTGAAATTGATAATAGCCCTCAGATTTCCCCAAAAGAATCAAATGAGGAAAAAGATATCGAACATCAAAATGATGAAAATAATCGTGAGAATACAGAAAATAATGAGATTTCTATTAACTACAACCATCATGGAAAAATGTTTATCCGAACTGAGGTGGATGACACTGATGGAGTATTCTCTTTTTCTGTATCCAAAGAAATTGAACATGATAATGAGGATCCAGAACCAATATCGGTATCTGAATGTCAAAAGAGACATGATTGGATAAAATGGAAAGAAGCTATACAAGTAGAATTAGACTCTTTGAACAAAAGAAATGTATTCGGTCCTATTGTTATAACCCCCGATGACGTTAAGCCAGTTGGATGCAAATGGGTTTTTGTGCGAAAGAGAAATGAGAATAATAAAATCACAAGATATAAAGCTCGTCTTGTCGCACAAGGGTTCTCTCAAAGACCTGGAATAGATTACGAAGAAACATATTCTCCAGTCATGGACGCGATTACGTTCAGATATTTGATAAGTCTAGCAACTTCCAAAAATCTAGAAATGTATCTCATGGATGTCGTTACGGCATATTTATATGGATCGTTAGAAAATGAGATATACATGAAAGTTCCTGAAGGAATGAGAATAACAGAAACAATAAATTCAAAGCCAAATGGAACATACGCGATCAAATTACAACGATCCTTATATGGGTTAAAACAGTCTGGTCGTATGTGGTATAATCGACTAAGTGAATGTTTGTTGAAAAAGGGATATGTTAATAGTCCTATTTGCCCTTGTGTATTTATCCAGAAAACAAATAATGGTTTTGTGATTATAGCAGTATATGTGGATGATCTAAATATTATCGGGACCTCCAAAGAAATTGAAAACGCTCGTAATTATTTGAAAGGAGAGTTTGAGATGAAAGACTTGGGGAAAACCAATTTTTGTCTTGGATTACAGATAGAACATCTTCCAAGTGGAATATTTGTTCATCAGTCCAATTATACCAAGAAAATCCTGAAACGTTTTAACATGGACAAATCGAATCCCCTAAGTACTCCGATGGTTTGCAGATCCCTAAATATTGAGAAAGATCCATTCCGCCCTTGCGAAAACAACGCGGAGGTACTCAGTCCTGAAGTACCGTATATGAGCGCGATAGGAGCTTTATTGTATCTTGCTAATTGTACTCGACCCGATATAGAAGGTTTGGGTCTATGAATCAAGATTTGACTCGATAAATTTCTGAAAAATCTTTAAAATAAAACCTCAGTGATACATATGAGACCCTTATTCAACCAAACTAATATATCACATTATATCCCATTAAAATCTTCATAGCTTCTATAGTTTTTATTAAATTCAATTCAAATTCATAAGAATTAACGTAAATATAGTGGAAAATTTATTTATCATATCTTAAACGTACAATGGATTCGTATGGATGATGCATTTTTTAAAACTCCAAGTTTAATTGCGTGAAATAATTTCAAGGAAAAAATGAAATAGTAACGGAGAGACTTGGACAGAAACTGTAGTCTCTAAAAAAAGAAAATAAAAGATGTTAATGTTGAAAATAAAATGAATATTATGATAGTGAAAGCAATAATAATAATAAGAGAGAGAGAATGGAGAGAGAAGTGATGAAATGAGAGTAAACCTTATGAGGTTTTTGTGTAACATTAACAAGGAGATGTACTACATATTTATAGGAAAAGAGAGGTAACTCCTTCATCATTAAGGAGTTAATCTTATTGGACAATTAGAAGGTCCACATATTTATAATACTCCCCCTTGGACCTCTAATAATTATACATAAGATATTTATAATTTAGACTGCCTCATTAAAAACCTTATCTCAGGAAGCACGTCCAGAATATTGGAATGCGTCATCTTCAAAGATTATGAAGGAACTCATATTCAAGGGGGAGTTTTGAACGACTGTACTCTTTTTTCCTCGTCATGGTTTTTATCCCACAGGGTTTTTCTATGATAAGGTTTTTAATGAGGCAGTCTAAATTATAAATATCTTATGTATAATTATTAGAGGTCCAAGGGGGAGTATTATAAATATGTGGACCTTCTAATTGTCCAATAAGATTAACTCCTTAATGATGAAGGAGTTACCTCTCTTTTCCTATAAATATGTAGTACATCTCCTTGTTAATGTTACACAAAAACCTCATAAGGTTTACTCTCATTTCATCACTTCTCTCTCCATTCTCTCTCTCTTATTATTATTATTGCTTTCACTATCATAATATTCATTTTATTTTCAACATTAACATCTTTTATTTTCTTTTTTTAGAGACTACAGTTTCTGTCCAAGTCTCTCCGTTACTATTTCATTTTTTCCTTGAAATTATTTCACGCAATTAAACTTGGAGTTTTAAAAAATGCATCATCCATACGAATCCATTGTACGTTTAAGATATGATAAATAAATTTTCCACTATATTTACGTTAATTCTTATGAATTTGAATTGAATTTAATAAAAACTATAGAAGCTATGAAGATTTTAATGGGATATAATGTGATATATTAGTTTGGTTGAATAAGGGTCTCATATGTATCACTGAGGTTTTATTTTAAAGATTTTTCAGAAATTTATCGAGTCAAATCTTGATTCATAGACCCAAACCTTAATAATAATTATTGTGTTTCATGATATGTGAAACCCAAATAAAATGTTTTTGTTAAAACTGGTCGGGTTATTCTGGATAGTTAAACTTAGAGTTTTAAAAAAGACATCACTTACTAGATCAAAATAGGACTCATCTTGTATGATCTTTCACTCGGACAGTAAAAACTATTAAGTTTTTTGTGAGATGTAATCGGAAATGGCAGATTGGTTAGGTAAAAATCTTCTAGGTATCACTGGTTTTTTATTTTAAAATTTGACAAAAACTTAACAAATCACGACTTGAAGTATATGCTTTGAATGAAAGGTCATCCGAGATGAATTCTATTAGAGTGTATCTCGGTTTGGGACGTGATATTTTATTTGAAACTTCAACTACTATCGTAGATGGTTTACGAAACGATGATAAATCTTTTACATATGAGAAACTAATTCAACTCAGCCATCGCACAATCGAAGATTTTAGAATGTTTTATGGATGATCAAATAAACTGGATTGGGATGATAAGAACAATAAAAAAATAAATTTAATAAATTACAGATCAAACTAAATAAAAGACTCAATTAAATAAGGCTCTAACTTGAGTTATTTAAAGTAGAAGTGAATTGATTTCCATATGAACTGTTTTATCAATATTATTATGATAAAATATACATGTTACATAAATATGATAAAATCTTAGTTTTTATTTATTAAGAATAAAAGTGACCAAATCTTTATTTTATAAAAAATAATATAATGACTTAGACTATAATGAGATAAATGAAAGAGTCAATATTATATTTCATTAATTTAGTTTAATTAAATAGATAATTATAAAATTTTAATATTGGTGGAGTTACATAGATTTAACATTATATCAAAGTTTATTTTGAAATATTTATAATTATTTTTTTAAAAAAAGATGAATATTTTTTTAATAATTTCAATTGAAATAATTTCATGCAATTAAACTTGGAAAACTATTTATGAATTTAAAAATATTATTGTTAGATTTCTAACACCAATAAAATTTTTATTATTATTTAAAACTATATTTTTTAGATATTTTATAATCACATTTTTCAGAAACTCATGGATGTACCAAAATAAAACTCTTTCGTCGAGTCGTAAAATTTTTAAAAATATTATTTCGGGATTTCATATTCTAATAATTGATTCTATATTAAATTCATGATAATATAAAAACGAAACTATTCACAATTCCGTTTTGAAGAAATGCAACATCATATTTTCTTGACACTTTTAAAAAAAATATTCAAGAATATGAATATAAATATAAAAAATAAAATATATTGTGGTTAATTTAATAAATAATAAAAATATATTAAGATTCATACATATTTTAAAATAAAATAATTGAACCAATCAACCATTTTATGACACTCTAATCTTTCACATTACAACCCTTAATTCTATAATATAATACACAAAAATATAAAAATAGAATTTGTTTTTAACCCCTAAAAAAATATCATCTCATAGACAAAATTCCTCATTTTGATTTTTAAATATAAATTATAATTTCAAAAGGAAAAATATATTATTCTTAAAACTTTAAAACTAATAATAAAAGGGAAAATCCAAAAACAAACACTGAACTTTCTAATTTTAACAAAAAATACTAAACATTTTATTTTATCAAATAAATATTAATCCATCTAGATTAAATTGAAAGATCCTAGAGACAATTTAGCAGATCATGAAAATAAAAAAACAAATTAGTATGATACAAATAATAAGTAGATTTATAAAATATAGATCAAACTAAAAGAAAAGATCCAACTAAATAAAATTCTAACTCATAATTATTTAAATTAAAAGTGGGTTGATCTCATACGGGTTATTGAATCAATATTATTTTGATAAAATATATATAACATACAAATATGACATAATGTTATTTTTTTTGTTAAGTATAAAATAACCAATTCTTAGTGTATTAAAAAAATACAATGACTTAAACTGTAATGAGACAAATAAATATTAATCGTATTAGTGTTGTATTTCATTAATTTGATTAAATTAAATAGATATCGATCAAATTTAAATACTGACGACATTATATAGGTTTAATATTATACCAATATTTTATTGTAAAATATTTATTAATCAAAATATATTATTTTTATATTTATAATATCAACCAAATTTATATTATTGTTTAAAATTATATTTATCGGGCTATAGATAATATATTTTTTAGGTACTTTGGATTCACTTAAAATAAAACTTATCAAGTCATAAAATTTGTAGAAATATTGTTCTAATATTCCATATTTCATTCGTTGATTCTATATTATAATTTACGAAAATTAAACACAGAAGACATTTCTCTCTTTGAAAAAAAAAATACAACATTAAGTTATCTTCATATTTAAAACAAAATTTACATTTTATTTAAAAATATAAAATATAAAATCAAAATAATATATAATATTTAATTTTTAAAAGTATATTAGTACGCGCGATGCGTTCGGATTATTATCTAGTAAAAAGAAAAACTGAACCCAAATATGAGTTAGAGTAATTTCGCTCATGAAACCGAATGCGAGCCCGAATTCTCATATAATCGATTTTCGAGGACAAAAAACCGGTTAATTCACTGGGTGGGATGTCGTTGTAATTCGTCCGGTTCTCCTCCGGTTTTCTCGCAAGATTGGCTTCCGGTTCGATGGTAGGTTAACATTCCATATTATTTGCTTAACCGCAAACGCTGCCATGCGTTTTGGAACGCGAGTGGCAACGGCCGCGATCAGCTTCCGCTTCTCCAAAGTATTTATGTACAGTGTTTTAACGTCGCTAACGCATCTAACACATTTCTTCTGATAGATTTAACATACTAGCCGTTAATTAGTTGTAGGGTTTGAATTTTAAGGGAGAAATGATTTAACCGAATTATAAATTTCTCAAACTCAAACGCGGCTCTTGTAGTAACAAAATTTATTCAAATATTTGGTTAAAGAAACTCACCAAAATACGTATTCTCCACATGTTTTATACGAATTTGTATTACACAACTCCCTGAAACATTTTGCCCAAATGCAAATTATGAACTATCTGGTGCTCTTCTTAATCCTGAGGGCCTCTCAGATGAAAGGATCATCTCTTCTAGCTTCCAAAACCCCTTTACCGCAAGACGGAAACGTTCTTCTCCATTCGGGTAAAAGCTACAAAGGCGGGCGGGGCATATTGTATTGGCTTTATTGAGTTTTCCCCGTTTGTTTCGTTCCTGGCACCAGCGGCTTGATGCAGAGTTTCGGCTTTGTGGTAACGAGGTTCTGAGGAAGGACAGAAACCGCAGCTATAAAGGAGCCACTACGAATCCCAGATACCGGTAGAAGTTCCACTAGGACGCATAACTGCGGAATTTCGCAAAAGTGTGTAAAGAAAAGAACGGGTTTTCAAGTGTATCGAGGAAAAGGAATGTGGTTATTTCCCGAATATAAATTACCTCTGGAGAATTGAGGTCCACTATCGAATCCGGTACAATCTCTTTTACTCCCGCTGCCACTGCTTCGAAGCATTTTCCACGGTCCAAGACAGGAATTTGCTCCCGACCCTCTGATGAATCTTTCGAAACCTTCCTGCCCATCTCTTCCATACCTCTTCTGTTATACCCAGCTGCAAACTGTGAAAATTTACCCGAAATCCATGAAAATACTCCCAAGATGCAATGTTCGTATAGACGATAGCGCTACCTCGTGAAACCCGAGATAGGGTTTCTCGTGTAAAGAACACCAAATTAAGAAAACGAAGACTAGCTTCTGCAGATAGAATCTCTTTTACCTTCAGAGGGTTTGATAACTTAAAGCTTTTATCGTTCAGAAACCGACGGACAAGCTTTGACACTGTTTCCTGGAGTTCTTTCTCGGCCAAGCCACAGGTAGCTTGAACAGGGAATATGCGGTGGCACCAGCTGCATTGCATCAAATTGTTTTTGTAAGAATATGCTTTTGCATAGACAACATGAAATGGGATATGGACCGAACGTATTAAAATGTGAGTACAAATTCCAGGCAAAGTCACCGAAAAAATTAGGATTGGGATTTGGGAATCAAGTACAAGCATCACCCATCGATATTTTGCAAGTTTATGTTTTTTTTACCATAAGCTTTAATGAAAATGTACAGAACCAGCTGAGAAACTCACACTGGTGACTTTAAAGCTCCAGATTCCAGAGACTGGAAGATAGTGGTGACGATTTCGGTAGTATCGGGGGAACTCTCATCGGACAAGGTAAGAAGAAGCAAGCCACTTCTTGTCAACTTAACCAATGACATGAGAAGATTGATTTCGAGACCTTCCTTTCTCGAATTTTCACCTAACATCGGAAAGCAAAAGCCGTGAAATAAAAGGAAATAATACACACTCGCGGGCAGAGATACGCATAGAATTCCACTATTTTCTTTCCTGAATTGATTCATACCTGATTCTTCTGAGGAATCATTAGTCGGAATCACAGCCTTCCCTTCACCGTCTATCTCTTCTGCACAAAATTTCTGTCTTTTTGGTGCGGTATTCTCATCGGAATATCTATGAACTTCAGATTTCGCCTCATTTTTGGACCCAACATACTGCATTAACCAAAATACACATTGATGTAAACTAAGCGGCTGAACTTTGTAAATATGGAGAAGATAAACGCGAAGATCGGATCACTTTCCGTCATGAACAAGTAATTGACTAATCGTTCCACTCTAACGACTTTTTTGCCACTGTGTAAAAACAGATTGATGGATCCTCGGGTAGACGAGGTTGAGGCCTCAGCCGAGTTGCTATTTATCAAATTGGCCCTTAGGTGCAGGAAAACGCTTGGATAGATTCCCTGGGCCTATCAAATTGGTATCAGAACCAATCCTTAGCATGTGAACCATCTTCCGACGTTTCTTGGTTGGGATTGGCTATAATACCAATTTGGTAGGCCCTAGGATGAGTGTTAATCGTCATTTGTTTTATAAAAACAATTCTCAGATATTTGATTCATAACTAAGGAAGAACCCATCTTTTTATAGAGGAAGATACAGACTCCTACTAGGACTCCTCAAGTCTATCCATGAACAGATAACCACTAGGACTCTACAAGTCTTGGAAAGAATCCTGTATGGATTCTAATTCCCTTTTAGATAGAATCCTAGGAATCATTATTGAATCAAAAGTCCTAAACTCCCAAATCCAAACAATATATAGATAAAAACACAAAACCAATAAAAAAACACAATCCAAAGCCAAGAAATAAAAGAAAACCCAATCCCGACACAGCTACTCAACAGAGGCTTTTTCGGCCTCAACTTCTTCCACCCGAGGATCCATCACAAAACCCCTGAATGCAATCCACCCATTATGTTTTACTCACAGACTTCATCTGTCTTTGACTCTTTGTAAAATCTAGTATTAGTATAGCAATATGCAAAGAAACATGAAGCAACTGTTAGTTAGAAACCTAGACGGGCCATGATCTATAGCTGACATTCAACTCCACACATATATATTTTTTAAACCCGAAACATAATATTTTCATCATGTCCTCACTGTTCTGTTTGTAGAAAGCAAAATTGCAACAAATCAGATGATACCTTTCCGAGGATGGACATAACCTCTTTGGTTGCACTCTTCTCCCTTTCTGAAAAATAACACAGCAACAAGTCAACCTCAAACCCTTAATTCGAATACAGACACAAGAAGCAATTCTTCCTTATTCCACAAATTGAGAAACGGACACCATTTGACGCTGCATGATATCAAGAACTGACAACATTTTCGTTTCATTCAAACAGAGATTAGAATGTTTGCCAGACACAAAAGCTCTAACGCCGCCATTTTATGTTTCGAAATAAAGACACTTTGAGATTTGCAGAAATCATGGAAATAAAGCACAAAACGTCATCAAGGATCAAATCCAAATCTGGTAAAACCGAAAATGTTAAGCTAAACCCTCAATTTGAATATGAAAGCGCAAAATTTTTCTTCCTACTCCTCAAAAATCACAACACACACCATTTCCCACATCGGATTTTGAAATCCGATAACATCCTCGTCCGAATTCGATCACAGATTTGAAATGCCCACAACACAAAACCTCGAAAACTACAGCTTTGTTTTCCCATACACATCCGATAATTCCAGTAAATGGGGAAAACAGGGTAACAATACATAACCATGCATGAACAAACTTGGTAAAGCAAAACAAACCGATACAAGAATAGCATCATACTGATAGTGCACGTGACGAGGAAACCGGAGTGGGAACGATGAAGCAGAGAAGAAGGGGCTGTGTAATCGAATCGAGGGATGCTAATGACGCTCGCGTGCTGCTCCCATGGCGCCATTGTTTGGGGCTCGTTTCCTCTCTCTTGTCCTTCGGACACCGCCTCCGATTCCATTGTTTTTCTTCCGACATCTTTGGCTTCCTCTGTTGCAGCCATTATCGGGTTGGGCTGTGTTTTCTCTCTCGTCGCTAAAACCCTACACCTCACAACTAGTTCTAATTCCTCGTGAACAACTGGGAAGACGAAGACGAAGACGAGAGAGATCACAGAAACTACAATGTAAGCCCTTGACATTTATAAAATTCTACATATTGCCTAAAACTCTACATAGTTAGCAAAAAAGCCCCAACATTTGATTTCATCAAAAGATTTTTGAAATGAACGAAAGAACCCTGACCCAGTAATAACCAATCATTTATAGATGTTGAATTAGTCCTTCAAATATATATATATATATATGAGATCACAGAAACTACAATGTAAGCCCTTGACATTTATAAAATTCTACATATTGCCTAAAACTCTACATAGTTAGCAAAAAAGCCCCAACATTTGATTTCATCAAAAGATTTTTGAAATGAACGAAAGAACCCTGACCCAGTAATAACCAATCATTTATAGATGTTGAATTAGTCCTTCAAATATATATATATATATATATATATATATATATATTGCACTTATATGAGATTATGAATCTATCATATTC